CAAATATCATTAAATTGTATATATATATATATGAGTAATTCCACCGGGTTTATACAACTTTTCTGAAAAAAGTCTCGAATTTGAGTTTCATTTTTCTGGTTCGCCCGAAGACAGCATGAAAAGTGCCTAGAACGTGAAAGAGATGAATACGGCTTTATAAGTTTCGAGAGCTTATCAATATGTAAGGTACAAGGATAGGTAATTTCCTATGATAAGTTGTATTTTGTGTAATAGAAACCGAGAAAATATTCTCTCAACATACATGTTCGTTGTATTGTGACACAATCTCAAAGCTGACAGGTCAAAATCCCGACTTACTGCGCTCTACCAACTTTTCACACCGTCTTTAGATTAATAAATACACTATTAATAATAGATATCTTTTTGTTTCTAACAAAAAGATGTACGACTTGTAAACTGGCACATCTTCGAAAAAATGGTATATATCCCATGGAATTACTCAAATGCATATATTTTTCAATGAGTAATTCGTTCATAAGAAACAGAGAGATATTTGTTATCCGATAGACGTGAGTTAGATAGCGTCAAATCTTCAACTTTAATTCAGTCTAAAGTCGTTATTCATCAACTGATTTTTCCTTAATATCAACTTGACACTTAATGTAGTAAGATATAATTTATATTTGTATAGTGACAATATATTCAACAAACTTGCTATAACTTTTTTCTAGTGGTATATAGAATAAATAGCAAAATATTTCACATTGTTATCGAAAATACAATGAAGACATTATTCGACTAAAAAAAAAAAAAATGAGAAAATTTTTTTCGAGAAATGATGATTTTTCAAAAACGAGCAACCTAATTAGGCTTAATAAAATAATCGTCTGAACACTTTCCCCTAAGAACATATCATATAGCCTTCGAAAGATAGCGTCATGTTGACGTTTCTAAAGGCAGAATTCAGTTGTCACCACTGAATCCTTAATCTTTTTTTTTTCATTGGCCAAATTGAGGATTAGATAGTCTCGTAAATTACAAAAAGAATCATTGCTCGAGATTAGATACCTAGTTTTTCTCGATCTAGTACAACTCTGACTTTAATAATACATGGTATGGGGCTATTCTCTTTGGAATGCTGACGACTCTTGGAAATTTTCAATTTCAAGACAAACAGATGTTTATTGAATCTTCGACATCTACGTTTTAGCAGAGAAGATTGAAGGATTTAGAAAGATTTCTAGAAAAAAAATAAGACTTCAACTAGATCTGAAAAAATTCGGTTATAATATCTTTTGGTAGAATAAAAAGCTAAGGAATATCGGGATCGAGAATTATTGAAAAAGCAACTCGATTAAATTTGAGACGCAAAAAAACAAAGAGAAATGAGCGTCTCTGAGTGTTATGTAGAGCCAAAAGCACCGATGCACTTCAGCAAAATAGACGCTATGAGAAAAAAAAATCTATTGGTTTTTGATGCAAATGGATGCATAATTGACATTATTCTACCAATCAAATCAGTCTTTTCTTGTCTAAAATCTCGAGTACAAGTCAATACTTATACTCGTTCAGGGCTGACCATTGTTGCCATTTATATGACATTAGTATCGAATAACATTCGACAAACATCTGTGTTATTTATGGTATGATATAAGAACGTTGTTCTCTCACACTTTTGAGTCGGCTTGTATTCAGAGCAGGCTCTTAGTCATAGAATCTTACTACAAAGCACACAGAATGTGAAAAAACATCTAGTGTAAGCATAATTCCCATTTATTCTAGTCTAAGATCTATGGAACGATCCAGGATGGCAAAAATAGATGTGTTGTCGTTCAAATCAGAAGCAACACGAATACCCACATATTCTCCATGATTGTGATGCGAATCATGACAACTGTGTTAGGAACAGATATATGCATGCAACCTCATCTGATTAGTTTATTGTTTGGTCGACATGAACTAGACAGAAACATTCTAGTAGAAGGAGAAAAAGGAAAGAGTACGAGTTTAAGGCACTGACAAGTAAGTTGAATAAAATTTTTCATTCGTCTCGATCGATATAAAAGAAAGATATGTAAGGATCTTTAAAGAAATTGACATTAACTATCATACAGATTTCCAATGTGTATATCTTCGGTTTTTCTTCACGTTTACAAGTGCATTGCAGAACGGTAATAAACAATACGATAATGTGACACATGTAAACCGTTCAGATCCGTAATACTCGAAAGAATCATTGAGATCTCACATTCTTATGAAGTTTTCTAATAAACATCAGCCGTTTTCTAGCGTGATTAAGTTAAGACTGCGACTGTTTTAGTCGAACAGGAAAAAAAATTACAGTCATATGTTCTTCGATATTTCAGAGTGTCTCATCCAACAAATGGTTCAAAGCCGACAAACAAAGATAAAACGAGACATTCATTCTTCTTCTATTTGTTTTATTAGTATTATTATAGATAAAGATAGCTGACATCATTGTCAAAAACAGAGTTCCACGAAAAAAATATATTAACTCATGTCATGTCACTTCCAAGGTATTTCTTCATTTCTTTTCGACAGATCTTATCAACTCTAACAATTCTCTTTTCAGTTAAGGGTATAGGACTTGTTATGTGCATCATCATTCATCTCATGCCTGAATATTATTCTCATAAGGCAGAGCTGGGTAAAATACTCGAAGTACTCGTATGCATACTCGAGTACAATTTTTGTGGAACTCGTACTCGAGAAAACCCGTACTTGTCCACCTCTGGCATAAGGAATGATTCCATAGTGACGCTAATACAAGAACAACACTAATCCAAGTGAATCGAATAGAATAGGATCTTTCTCTCAGTAATACTTCGACAATTATAGAATACTACAGCAATTATCTTAGGTTTTATCTCTACTAATAAGAATATTGAGCGAGAAACCCTATAATAAATAGTCTAATTGAGCTTTTCGTTCCAAATAGACAGCTTCCAGATGATAGGAAGATTTTTACCTGATGAAACTCAAAAAAAGAATCAACTAAAAGTTAATGATATAATTATGAGAAAAAAAGTCGATGCAATTATAAAGCTACTGTGAAAGTAACCCTGAACTGAGTTAGAGATATAAAACAAAGACAGTATTTTATTGAGTTCATTGTATTCATGAGAAAAATGGCACTCGTCCAGCTTGTGTCGCCAAGCAATCGGTCAATATCTGGTCGTTATCTTTTGACGATAAGCAAAAGAAAGTCGAACCGATCTGTAACACCAGCTGTTACAGCTACTATCAATTATTTTCTCTTGTTCCATCATGTTCATCTCTATGTGCCTTTTTTTTCATCTCAAAGTACATCGATATGAGGCAAGATTATTAATATGTCCTACAGAGTTCTGATCAAGGCATATTTCTGACATCATTAAAATTTCATTTGATATTAGAAAAGATTAACTGTATGACGTACATCTCAAGCACAGATAATCTATTTGGAAGTGTCGATTCTAAAGTCTTATATAAAAGAATAACTAGTGTCTGCATGATTATTACACTTTATACTTCGACAGCGAACATTTTGGTATTTTTTATTATCGGTACCAATTGAATTTGGAAGTCATTATATATTCCAACTGCATTGATCCAAAAAAATCCTCAACTTGTCTTTGAGTAATGTACGTAATGATTGAAATTTTTTTTTCTCCACAAACAAGTGCATAAGCAACGATTGTTGACGCGACGAATCAAATACACAATGTCACCTTTGGATACAGTTATTATGTATCAAATGGCCACCATGAATCTTTATAGAATTTGTGGACCAATATTGGTCATTCTAGGAAGTATAGGTGGAGTACTCTGCTTGTGTGTGTTCGGACAGAAATCAATGCGTAAAAATTCAGGTTCTATCTATTTTATTGCATTCAATATTGCCAATATTCTTGTATTATGGATTTGTCTCGTACCATTTGTTTATCGTTACATGACTGGTATCGATTTTACTATATCAAATCTAATTTATTGTCGATTACGAATATATCTATTGGATGTGCTTATAGTATTACCATCATACTATCTAACTTTGGCTTCAATCGATCGAACATTAGTCACTTCTCATAAGGCATTGATACGACATCGAAGCACACGACGTTTGGCTTTCTGGACAATTAGTGGTATTACTCTTCTGTGGTTTCTTTATTATTCTCCCATTTGGTTTCTTGTCAGTATTCAATCACCTGTTCCTGGCTTTTATATCTGTTTCTTTGAACCTGGGATGTATTCTATGTTTGTGAGCTATTCTACAATGACAATAACTGGCTTTTTGCCTCCTTTTCTAATGACAATCTTTGGCATAATGACAATGAGAAATTTTCGACGATCTCGAGTTCAACCAATCACTAATGAAAATAACATTATTGCATTATCATCAAAAGATCGTCAATTAGCTATAATGTTATTATTTGATATTATTATTTCTGTCGTTTTATCATCTTTAGGATCAATCCTTTTTGTTTATACACAAAGAATTCCAAATGAAAGAAAAACTATGGAACAACAAGCTTTGGATTATTTTCTTCTAGATTTTGGTTTAAATCTTGTATTTGTACAAGCTTCTCTAACTTGTTATTCAAATTTTATTGTTTCAAAGAAATTTCGCAAAAATATTCGAAAACTCATTTGGAAACTAATGCCTCGTGTTTGTCGTCGACAGTGGATGAATCGCTGGTCAAATGTAGCATTAAATAGTCTAAATATGACTTCCACGGCTTTGACAGTTTGGCCACGCACAGTTGCTATACATTAATAAACTCTATTAATACTATTATAGACACTTTGTTTGTTGTCATGTTTCTGTATTTGAGTAAATGTTTGAATTGATATCTGTATCGATGTTATTCTAAGGTCAGCATAAGATCGAATCGTGAAAAATGTTGAGAGTATG